CTCCAAAAAAAAAAAAAAAAAAAAAAAGGTGTCATGACATTCCTAACAACCCAATAGAAATAGAACAGGAATATTTGAAGTAAAAGCTTTAACTTTATCCCATCACTAGAAGGGAAACCTTGGATTTCAGTGGTGCCAAGGGAGATGGGGCTAAAGGGTAATTCTCTAAAATGGGGTGGAAAGGGTCGCCCACTTCCACCTTTCCACACACACGTGTGAGAGTTGGTGGCACCGTCATGGATGAGACGGCACTACTGTAGGGAGAGCTCAGCTTTCAGCTGCCCAGTCGCTGACGACGACGTTTGCTGAAGCTTCCAGAGGACAAACTGCCTTAGGCTAGCCAGCCCGCTTCATCTTGCTCTTATCAAGTGGGCAAAGCACTGCTCTCTAGCTGGAGTGCAGGATGGGGAAGATAAGGTCATTCCACAAAGTATTCTAGGGGTGTCTACAGTCCCCAGCCAATCTGGACAAGCTCAGTCTTAAACTTTCTAGCCAAAGCAAATAGACTGAATCATAAATAAGTTGCCAAGCTACCTCTTCCAGAACATGGCTTCATGAAAGATGAAACCTGTGTCAGTCTTCCGTGGGTGGCAGTACAGAGCCCAGCTAACAGTTCAAAGGGAGGCAGCAAGCCCAAGTGGCTCTTCCTCTGGTTGGTTCTTCAAACAGAGGTTGGGCTCTGTCCAACCACAGCTCTGCCAGGCCTTGGCAGCCAGAAAAAGGCTAGAGGGCAGGGCTGAGCCAGGCCAGGCCCAAACACATACCTGTGAATCCCTGCTCCAGTACCCAGAGAGGACCTCCCTTTCCCGGATGATGGAACTGAAGACTGGATAGATTGAGAGAATCCTGGGGACCAGCAGTTGCCGTAATGGCTATGTCATTGGACTTCCATGTAGTCGACCACAGTTCGAGTCCCGGACCCGGTGGCTTAAACTCATGCCAGGCGCATGTGCATGCGTGCCCAAGATCTTGAGAGGAGAATGGAGAAGGGATTGCAGCGTGGCCATCCCCCCTGGGGGGTGATTTCTCACTTTCTGTCTCTCTGTCTCTGTCTTTCTGGTCAGCACACGCACCCTATAGCAAAAACCTCTCAAAAGAAAGATTGAGGGAGTCCTGTTTCCTGGCCCAAGACCTTCCCTCTAGAAGAGAGTCCCCAGCTCTCCTTAAACACAGCAAGTAGAAAGGGAAGAAGCTGTTCTAGAGTAGGAGGTGGCTCATCAGAGCCCTTCTCTGCCAGCAAGTGGCGCAGAGTCAGAAAAAACTCGACCCATCACAGCCGAGAGCTGCAAAACAGGATGAGGGAGCTGGGACTGGAATCCCGGTTTTCTTATTAGTCCAGGCATCTTTTCATCTGTGCCAAGCAACATGACTCTCAGTATCAACCCTCATGAGAGAAAGTGGCACTGTCCTTCAAGAGGCCGAAATGCATGATGCCGAACAGTGGGACCCAGACCATTCGGGTGAGAATCTCAGCCCCCACTACCAGCTGAGTGAAGGGTAGAGCTACGTAACCCCTTTGTCCCTCACTTTTGTCATCTGTAAAATGGGGATGACAGGGGCCAGCAGGTGATATAGTGATTGGAGTGCTGAACTCCCACGTGGCCAACTGTGGTTCAAGTCCCAGACCTGGCAGCTTGCTTTCTCTCTCTCTGGTCAAATTTTAAAAATAAATAAAAATAACTGAATAATAATTTTTTAGAGGCTTTTGCCTTAGGGTGTGTGCACTCACCAGAGAGAGAGGGGGAAAGTGAGAAAACACCACCCAAAGGGGATGGCTACACCACAATCCCTTCTCCATTTTCTCCTCCTAGGATCTTGGGTTTGTGTGCACACACATGTCTGGCATGAATTTCAAGCCACTGGGTCCAGGACTCAAACTGGTCAATCATGTGGCAGTCCAAGGACGTAACCCTTATGCCATCTGCTGGTCCCTAAATGAATAATTCTTGTTTTAAAAAATGGGGATAACAGTACCCATCTCTGAAGGTTGTTACCAGAAAGAAATTAAGGGTGTAAAGCCCTTGGAACAGTTCCTAGCACGTAACAAGTGAGAGCTGTAGTTATAAAGGAGCAGCTGAGTCACTCACGTCTTTTCCTCCTAATCTCGGTGCCTGGAATCTTTAATAGAAGCGAGACTTCATCCACCCTCATGGCCCTCATGCCATGAATTATTTCTGGAGCGCCTCTAACAGTTTCTGATTCTGTTCCCATACAACCTTGGTGGTTTCTACGACCTTCCCTCCAGAAGGCTGTATTCCGCTAATTCCCGTGTGCCCTGCCCTCCAGAGCCTTATGATTCAAGAGCCGAAATGTAGGCACTGTGCAGGAACTGGGAAGACGGCAGCTACCGTTACTGGTTGTTCTTCCTACTTGTTTTGATCGATTACTTTTTTTTAATTCTTTTTTTGGAGAGAGTTTTTTGTTTTGTTTTGCTATAGAGTGCATGCGCTGGCCAGAAAGAGAAACAGAGACAGAAAGTGAGAAATCACCCCCAAGGGGGGATGGCCACGCCGCAATCCCTTCTCCTCCATTCTCCTCTTGGGATCTTGGCCGCGCATGCCCGGTGTGAGTTTAAGACACCGGGTCCGGGACTCAAACCGTAGGCGGATACATGGGAGTTCAGCGACATAGCCATTACGCTAACTGCTGGTCCCTTGATCAGATTACTTTTTATCACCTCCTTGACCTTCATCAATATTCAGATCCTAAGTCATGGAGGAGGCTTCCTCGGAACACAGCCGGGCACCAATTCAAACATGGCCCAGAAGACATTAGGAGACAGGCTAGGAATCTGCCTCTGAGCTGGCTGCTCTGACTTTCAAAACGTGGCCAAGGACCTGTGCCAGCCTCTTCCCCTGAACCTAGTGTGGGGGTGGGGAGGTCAAGCGAGTTCACTTTTCTCCTTCACTGATCTTTAAGCTGCTTCCTGGGGCTCTATGGAATCCTCTCAATGAGGTGAAATGCCTAGCACGGTGCCAGCGTTTTAGGTTCTCGAATGATCGCTCTTACTATTAATATCAGTAACTAGCATTCACAACCCCTCGTCGGGTGCTGTCGGGTGCTCTGGTAGTTGCCCTGGGCAGGCCCTAGACTCTCATCTGACTGCTGAGAAGACTCCTGCCACCCCCTGAAGCCTGCCCCAGCATCTTCTGCGGCTTTTTCTCAAGAGGGCCTGGACGTGCAAGTCCGGCTAGCCCCACGCTGGGACCGGCTGCACTGGGAGTACGTCTGCAGCAGGGATGCGGCGCCAGGCTCTAACCGAGCGGAGCTTCCACCCTCTTCCAGCGTCCGGCTCCGGGTCTGCGGGCGCCTGAGCCTTCTCAGCCTGCCCAGGAGGCGCGGAGGTCGGCGACCGAGCGCGCACCCCGCACACGCGCGCACTCTTACTCCGGAGGGTTTTCGGAGTCGGCCGGACGCTGCGCGGAGTCGGGGGC